TTTTTTTTTTTTTTTTTTTTTTTTAATCCCTGGTAGTATTCTTTGCTTAGAAATCTACTTTGTGTGACATTAGGCAGTAAACTTGGGCAAATGTAGAGTTACCGTGGTTTATTTCTTATCTGTCAGGGATTACTGTCCTATCCAATGTCTTGAAAACTGGTATTTTTAATATTTTGTTTGGGAATCTTTTAGTTCTTCCTTTCTAGCAAAAGTATAATCTGTTTCCCCATCTTGTTCTGAGAAGGAGTCCAAGAATATTTTTTAAATTATTTGCAATGGTTCTTAAGTTTTTCTTTTTTGTTTGTATCAGGGATATTTAGAAGAATCTGATGAAAGGTATGAACTTTTGCCCCTCCAAATCTACAAAGATTTATACATGTAAAATTTTGTTTGTAATTTCATGGGGTTTATAGGCTTCAGGATTAATTCATCCCTACCTGAGAATTCTTGCTTTCCAACCCTATTTGACATTAGAATCACCTGGGAGAGTGAATATCTGTGCTTCACCACAGACCTGTGAAATCTGAATCTTTGGTGGTAGGGCCTAGACTTTGTTTCTAACACTCCCCAGGTAATTCTAATGTGCAGCCGAGATTGAATATAACTCTGTTTTAAAGCAGAGGGGTGCTCTACCTGGAAGCAGGCAAGACAGCACACTTGGGGGCCTAGGCAAGTTGCTGAGAGCAGCACCCCCTCAACCCATAATCAGGCAAAAACCACTTCCACATGGCTGGCCAACCAGAGCCACTGCCACAACCATGGCTGCTGCAAAAGCAGCTCAATGCCACAGCAGTAGCCACAGCCACTGTGCAGATGGCCTACCAGACACTTCACTGCATTGACATAAGGAGAGTCATCAGTGGAGACTGGACAAAGAAGAGGATGTCTGTCTCCTAAAAACGCACTCCAGAGTAACAGAAGAAACAACTTCTATAAAAGATGACCAGATATCAACGTAGAGATACCAGAAATATGAAAAACCCAGAAAATGACTCCACCAAAAGAATACAGTAATTCTCAAATACCAGATCCTATAGAGCAGGAAACTCTAGAAATGACTGAAAATGGATTCTGAGCAACAATCTTAAGAAAACTCATTAATATAGGAGAAGACTCAGACAACATAATGAAATAAGAAAGAAATCCAGGATACGAAGGAGCAAATTGACAAAGAGATTAATACCTTAAAAAATAATGTAGCAGAATTCATGGAACTGAAAGATTCACTCAACAAAATAAAAAATGCAACTGATAGCTTAAGCATCAGGCTAGAACAAGCAGGAGAAAGAATTTCAAATCTTGAAGATAGTCTTTTTGAAATAACTCAGGTGGACAAAAAAAACATAAAAAGAATTTTAAAAGATGAAAATCTAAGAGAGCTAGCAGACAACCTTAAGCACACAAACATTTGAATCATGGGTCTTCCAGAAGGAGAGAAGAAAGGAAAAGTCATGGAAAAAGCTATTCACCAAAATAGTGAGAGAAAACTTCCCAGGTAAAAGGAGAGACACAGACCTTCAGATCCAGAGGCTCAAAGATTCCCAGAGATTCAACCCAAGAAGATCCTCTCCAAGACACATTATAGTCAAACTGGCAAAGCTCAAAGACAAACAGAGACTCTTAAAAGAAGCAAAAGAAAAGCAATGAATCACCTGTAAGGGCTCGGGCTCCCTTATCAGAATGACAGCAGACTTCTCAACAGAAACTCTACAGGCCAGAAGAAAATAAGATGGTATATTCAAAATACTGAAAGAAGAAAACGTCCAGCCATGAATGCTATACCCTGCAAGGCTATCCTTCAGAAATGAGAAGAAATAATGTATTTTCCAGACTAACAAAAACTGGAGTTCACCACCACATGACCAGCCTTGCAAGAAATCCTCAAGGGAGTACTGCACCTGGAATCCAAAAAAACGATAATCACTACCATGAATACACAAGAAAGAACAAAACCCACTGGTAGAATAAAAATGCAAGTAAGAAAGAGAAACTAAATCTTACCACCACAAAAAACCGTAATGGCAATGTAATAATGCCCCAGCTTTATTTCTGATTTTAGTAATTTTGGTGTTCTCTCTTTTTTTCTTGGTCAGTCTAGATAAAGGTTTGCAAATTTTGTTGATCTTTGTAAAGAATCAACTTTTGTTTTTGTTGATTTTGATTTTCTCTATTGTTTTTAATTCCCTATTTCATATATTTCTGTTGTAATCTTTGTTATTTCCTACTTATATTTGCTTTTGGTTTAGTTTGCTCTTCTTTTTCTGTTTTCTTAAGGTAGAAGTTTATATTACTGATTTGAGATTTTTCTTATTTTTAGTATGTGTTTTCAAGTATAAATTTTCCTGTAAGCAGTGCATGAGCCCTGCATCATATAAATTTTGATATGTTGTGTCTTGATTTTTATCTTAAAGTACTGTCTAATTTCTCTGTGATTTTTCTATTTACCCATTGTTTATTTAGGAGAGTGTTGTTTAATTTTCACACATTTGTGAGTTTTCTAAATTTCCTTTTGTTGTGTTCAGAGAACATGTTTTCTATGGTCCTATTCTTTTTAAATGTATTAAGACTTGTTTTGTGGCCATAAATAAAGCAGAGGGTGGCTTCCTCTCCGTGTGGTTTCTCTACCTTCTCTTTATTGGCAAGGATACTAGGAAGGGTGGGATATAGGAACCCTTATACCTAGCCTGAGTAGCATGGGTTACTTTAAAAAAATTGCCAATTTTACCTTCGGACTTTGTCTTGGTAAATTGTGTTTGGGCTTTTCACAAGAGTGCATACAAAAGGAGTTAAAATAAGAAATCTTTTTCAGTTATAATAAGTTAAAATAAGAAAACTTTTTAAGTTTCATAATTTGCTTTAACAAAATACAAAATGTTAGAATATCCCTATTGTAAGCAAAAGGCAACTATATGTCAATTAACATGGACTTTGGAGCTTGTTATGAGAAATAAGGTCATAAATTAATGGAAATTTAAATTTTCTAAAGCACTGGATTTTTTTTAATGTGATATGCTTTGTTATAGGTTTTATGCTATCTCAAATGTATGTATGACTTCATTCATAGGTAATTCATAGTAAAAAAATGAATTTTATATTGACTTCAGTGAGCCACAGTGTGTTTAACTGTTTTTAAAAATTCCTGAAAGCAGTAAACAAGAGAAAATAGCACAGAACACTCTTAATAAGAGAGGTCTAGTGTAACATGGATTCTGTGACTCCAAAGCCAATTGATTTCACATTGAGTCACTTTTTGGATGTGTCAAATTATGTAATGCACGGTGTAGTTAGTTTGGAATGCTGGCTACTTTTATGCAAGCTGATTCTTTTGTATACTTTCCTTAATGAAGAACTTAATGTCATATCCATTTTATTAGGCTTTTTAGTTTCTGAATTTTCTAATGCTTCTTGAAGTAGTAATGGTGACTTTTTAAAGTATTAAATAATTTTGCATAAATCTAGTTTAAAATATTTTCTTCCTTACTTACTGTAACCAACCTTTCCCTATAGCTGTGAACTTCACAGAAGTTAATGAAGAAAACAAAAACGTTATCTTCCGTGAAGTGTTTTCTTCCATTGAAACTTTGGCATTTACCTTTGGGAATATGTAAGTAGAGGACTGTCATTTAACGTCTGGATGTCTTAGTGAGAGTATGTCTCATAATCCAGTAAGATACATGAAAAATAAAGGATTAACCACTGTAAAGTATCATCACAACTTTAGAAAAGCTACATTCTGTGTCACTTTATTACTTACTATATTTGGAAGTATCTTTGTAGTTATTTATAAGCAACATCCATTTTCAAGTGAATATGTTTGTGGTTTATGGGAACAGATTTCTAGGAGTTTATTTCTTTTTTTGTGGCTGACCGGTATGGGGACCCAAACCCATGACCTTGGTTTTATAAGCCTCCATTCTAACCTAGTTAAGTGGTCAGCTCTCTAGGAGTTTATTTCTAAGGTTCTTACTTAAAAAAATATTTTCTAGATGACATGTTGAATGTAAAGCCAGTGACAAAGAAGTGTAGTGACTTGTCTTTTTATTTCTGTTTCTTTTTTTAACTTCTCTGGATAGCCTTACAAACTTCCTTATGGGAGATGTAGGCAATGATTCATTACTACGACTGCCTGTTTCTCAGGAAAGTAAGGTAAGCTAAGTTTGTGTGACAGCAAAGCCTCTAATATTTTTAACTTAATATTCATTTATTTATTAATCTTAATCTCAGCATTACTCTTTGACAGTTTTCAAGTTTAAAAATTAGCATGTTATAGAAAGAAAAACAGACCAGTTCATTTTTAAATATGACAATTTTTCGTCAGTTTCTGGAGAATAATTTAGTTATAACAAACTAAAGTTAGTTGAGCTTAAATATGTAACCCAGTGCCATACATCTTATAATAGATCTGGACTTCAGACCATAGTCTATTCAATCCCTTTTACGTTGAATCCCTGCATACCCTGTATTGCCTAACTAAATAGAGACAAACTAAAGTTAGTTGAGCTTAAATATGTAACCCAGTGCCATACATCTTATAATAGATCTGGACTTCAGACCGTAGTCTATTCAATCCCTTTTACGTTGAATCCCTGCATACCCTGTATTGCCTAACTAAATAGATTAAATTTGTTTAAGATCTCACAGTTTTGGTAGATGATGTTTTCTAGTACTGTCCAATAAGGTAGCCACTGGTCACATATAGTTCTTTAAATTTAAATTATTTAATAATTAAAATTTAAAATTCACTTCCTAGTCTCACTTTTTAATGTTCAAGTAGCTACATGTACTTAGTAGTTACCATAGTGGATAGTACAGCTATAAAACATTTCCATCATCATAGAAAGTTCTGTGCTAAGCTGACTTTCAGAAACATGCTTATCATATCATAATAAAATGGTAATACATGGCTGGAAAAGACAGAATCTGTGTCTTCTATTTAGTTAGCCATATATTTGGATTGCTTCTCTAACTTTCAGACTAATATTTTTGGCATCTGCAGAATTTAAAGTTTTGAATGATTCATTAATATTAACTAATGCTGTTAGTAAACAGTGAGGTTGTTCATTCTTAGATCTTGAGAACTGCTGTTGTAAAAAGCTGTATAATTCTTATATAGTGTTTTTGTGTTTAAACAGACTTCTCAGGCCCTTTGAGTTTTAAATACTTGAAATTCTTTAGCAGGAATTATGTCAGAGTAACAAATTAGGATGAACAATCTCTGAGGCAAAGATTTGTTGTCTTGTGTTCTAATCTTAAATTTGTTTTCTCCCATGTTGTAAGTCTTTTGAAAACATTTCTGTGGAATCAGTGGACTCGTCCAATGAAAAAGGTAATGCTCAAGGTACTTATAATTTTTGTTGAATTGTTTGCAGTTACTTTTGATAAGTGTTTTGGATTACTTAATCTCTTCTTAGTAATCTAGCGTGTTCATTTTTAATGCAAAATGTTATATAAAGTTTTACATATGACACTTAAGGGAAACCTGCCAGAGTAGATAGATAATGTGATGATATAGACTGATAAAGAATTGTATAAGGCTTGTAACTTGATGAATAATAGAAATACATATTAAGATAACAATAGATTACAGTTTGTAATCATTTTAAGTTTAAACTGTGGCCCTTTGATTCTAAATTGTCACTTTTTTTTCCTTTTTGTCTTTTTTTTTTCGTGTCCGGCAACGGATCGCAACCCTCAGTGTCGCGCCCGTACCGGACCGGGACCGGCAACGGGATCGCAACCCTCGGTGTTGCTCCCACACCTCGCTCAGCCAGTGAGCGGGAACCAGTCTGTATGTGGGATCTGAACCCTCGGCGGGAGCGCCTCCGCACTCCCAAGCAGCACACTGTAGCAGTGCACCACCAGGCTGGCCCCTAAACTGTCACTTTTTTTTAAAGCCAGTTTTTATTGAAGAACATCTTTAGATCTGAGTGCTTCTGCTTAGAGTTATTATGTGATCATATTTAACATATACTTACCGTGATATTTTTATTTTCAGGAAATTTTTCTCCAGTAGAACTAGACAGCGTGCTGTTAAAGAACACTGACTCTGTAGATTTGGCTTTGTCATATGCTAAAACATGGTCAAAATATACCAAGAACATAATTTCATGGGTTGAGAAAAAGCTTAACTTGGGTGAGTTGCCCTTTGGAGCATCTGATTAACTTTGGAGTTTGAGAACCAAATTGTGACACATTTTCTATAGACCATGAGTAATATGATTCCAAATAAGTAGCTGTTTCATCGTAATGAATAAAATCATTATTCATTTTCTCTTCTTGAAATAGGAAAGACTTTTCTTACACTAGAAATACTTATCAAACATTAACTGTGGACCAACCACTAGACCTAGTGACACAAAGACCAAATAGAATACTGTCTCTGCCTGTAAAGAAGTCATACTCTAATGGGTAAAGAGAAATGCAATCTGATAATATGGTAAAAGGAGACCAAAGCAACAATAGATGTATGAGCAGAAGGCAATGGAAGCATAGAAGCTAACTTTAAATATTAACTAATTATTAAGCTAATATTAATTAGTAATAGCTAATATTTCCCCAGTGTTTTACAGTTGACAAAATGTTTTTATATTCATTATCTCATTTAATCCTTACAAAAATACTGGGAAGTAGGCAAGATGGAAGTAAGCAAGATAAGCATTGTCATCCCATTTTATAGCTGAGACAAACAAGACAGGTGATTTACCTAAGATCATATAGCAGATTTGCTTAAGGTCATATAGCGTAACTGGAAGAATACAGAATCTACCCAAAGCCTATGCTCTTTCTACTATGCTGTTTGTTTTTAATAAGAAATGCTAAGCAGAATCACCCAAATAGCCTTGTAAAGGAAAATACGCAGGCCTATGTCCCATCCCTCAGAGAGGTGAGGTCTAGGCAAATGCATTTTGAAAAAGTTTCCCAGTTGATTCTGATGAGCACTTACGGTTAGGAATCACCGTGTTATATCGTGATGCACTGTAGTATTTGTGCTCACTTTTTAATTGGGGAATTACGAATAATAGAGTATAGAGGGGGAAATAAGTTAATTTTACCTTCTGATATCTTCTTTGACCTTTTCAGAATTGGAGTCCGCTAAAAATATTGTAAAGTTGGCAGAGGCAACAAGAACTAACATTGGAGTACAGGTAAATGTTCTGTGAATTTGTACAGACTAGTCAGATGAGCTCCCAATAGTGCCTTGCAATATCAGAAAATTTCAGTTAATAAAGGAAAGAACTTAAATGGTAATCTTTTCATTGACAAAGTAAAATCTTTTTAAATTTTGATGGATGTTTATTATGAAAAATCTGGCAATTCACAATTTTATACAAATATTGGTTATCTTGCTAATTACTAATTTTGCTAACTAGTTTCATAGATAATTATAATTAATTTTCTTCAATTTTTTTCTCATATAGTTATGTTTATGACTAGTCATTTTTCTGGGGGGAAAATGTCTAAACTTAAAGTTTTTCTTTTTTGAAGAAGAGTAATGGTGGGTTTGGAACTCTAGTACCATTCCTATTGTAAAATTTATTTTTCAATTTTAAATTCTAGGAGTTTATGCCACTGCAGTCTCTATTTACCAATGCTCTTCTTAGTGATGTAGAGAGCAGTCACCGTTTACAACAAACAATTGCAGCTCTCCAAGCCAACAAATTTGTGCAGGTAAAAATTAATTTATATGTACAGTACGCAAATTCTTTACAACTGTGTTTCTTTAATAAACAGCTTTTTTCTTTTTTTCTTTTTAAAAAATATACCCTTGGCAGCCTCTACTTGGTAGGAAAAGTGAAATGGAAAAACAAAGGAAAGAAATAAAAGAACTTTGGAAACAGGAACAAAATAAAATGGTTAGTGTTATCATGAAGTTCCGTGTACCTATTTGTGAACGTCTAAAATCATCCGCACTATATCACCATCTACCTTTACTCTGTTGTTTTTCTAAAATGCTGGCTTAACTATACTGCTGAATCTGCTAAAGAAACTTGTACAGTAGGATTTCTTTCATATTCTGTGTTAAATACTTTTTTCTCTATAGCTCGAAACAGAGACTGCTCTTAAAAAGGCAAAATTGTTGTGTATGCAACGTCAAGATGAATATGAAAAGGCAAAATCTTCCATGTTTCGTGCAGAAGAGGAGCATTTGTGTTCAAGTGGTGGACTAGCGAAAAATCTCAACAAGCAACTAGAAAAAAAACGAAGATTGGAAGAGGAGGCTCTTCAAAAAGTAATAATCTTTTGTTTTTTGCAAGTTGAGTTAGCAATAATCTGTGAAGGGTTTGGTTCTCAAACTTCAGCATATGCCTGGATCATCTGTTAAAACAGATTGGTGGGTCTTGAATCTTTGATCAAAACAGATTATCTTTAGAAATATTCTATTTAAAATATAGATAGAATATTTCAGGATTTTCATGACATAAAGGCTTTTCAGTTATTTAAATTTAGCTTTACTAAAGTAAGTATTTGTTTTAAAATATAAATTCTAGTGAGCAGTGTTATTTTTTTCTGTGATATTCCTGAAGGTAGAAGAAGCAAATGAACTCTACAAAGTTTGTGTGACAAGCGTTGAAGAAAGACGAAATGATCTAGAAAATACCAAAAGAGAAATTTTAGCACAGCTCCGAACACTTGTTTTCCAGTGTGATCTTACTCTTAAAGCTGTAAGTAATTTCTTCAGTATTTTGAAGGCAAGAAGTATAAAAAGAGTCTGTGTATCTGCAGAAGGGAGAGGGATGCCTGATGAGTCATGATTCTTAGGAGATTTAAATTTTGAGATTAATGGAACATGTTGAGTTTGAAAATTGACTTTCAGTTTTTAATAGTGATTATAGTATATAGTTCGAGTTACTTTTGATCTCCCCCCATGTCCCCTGGATTGATGATTTGTTTGGTTAAAATTGAAGGCTGAGAGTTTGAAATTGCATGTAAGCCACTGCTTTTCTTAGCTTGGCTGATAAAATTTATTTGACCCCTGCAGCTTGATCAGTGCTCTGAGATCTATTCTTCAAAATTTGAGTAAACTAAATATTAAAGTTGAATGCAGTGATTTATTTGAAGACAAAATGTTCTACTTCTCAAGTGTTTTCATTTGCCTCTAAAATTTTTTTGTAAAAACCTTACATATAAAAAACCTTTTATCGGTGTACATATCACAAGTTTTAACACATATAAATTTGTGTAACCAACACCACCAGTCAGGATTCAGAACAATTCCATCACTTCAAAAAGAATTCCTTGAAGGTGCCCCTTTGTAGTCAAACTCTGCACCCACCCAAACCCCTGGCAGTACTGATCTGTTCTCCATCTTATTAGTTGAGTCTCTTCCAGTATTATGTGAATAGAATCATATTGTATATAACCATTTGAGACTGGCTTCTTTTACTCAGCATAATGCTTTTGAGATTCATCATGCGTATATCAGTAGTTTATTTCTTTTTATCACTGAGTAGTACTCCATTATATAACTGTACCACAGTATTTACCTATTTACTGGTTATACATTTGGGTTGTTTACAGTTTGAGGTTGTTTACAGTTTGAATAAAGCTATAAGAGTAGTTGTTTACAGGTTTTTATTGAACATAGTTCTAATATATCTAGGGTAAATAGGAGTGGGATTATTGGTTGGTATGCTAAATGTATATTTAACTTTATAGAAAACTGCCAAACTATTTTCCAGAGTGGCTATAATATTTTTCATTCTAACCAGCACTGTATGAGAATCCAGTTGTTCTGCATCCTTGATAGTTGTCAGTGGTTGTCATTTTTAAATTTCAGCTGTTCTAATAGGTGTGTAGTGGCATCTAATTGAGGTTTTAATTTGTATTTCCAGAATGACTAATAATATTGAGCATCTTTTCAAGGAGTTATTTGCAATCTGTGTTTTGGCTGTTTCTAAAATTTAGTTTGTTTTCTTATTTTTGAGCTGGCATATATCTTCCCTCATTCTGAATCTTATCTTTTTATTCCTGTAGTAGTTTTTTTCAGGGAGCAAAAGGTTTAATTTTGATGGAGTTCAACTCATCAGTTTCTTCTTTTATGTGTCATGCTTTTGGTATTCTAAGAGTACTTCACCTAACTCAAGATAACAAACATCTCTCCCTTTTTTAAAAAATGTTTCCATCTTATAAATATCATCACATGTCCTGTGTTTTCTACTGAAAATTTTACAGTTTACATATAGATGTATGATCCATTTTGAGTTAATTTTTGTATAAGGTGTAAGGTATAGGTCAAGGTTCATTTTTAGTATATGGATGTTATATTAAAATTATATCCATGGGATTTTAATTTGTGGAGGTGACTGAGCACCAGCACAGAGAGGTCAATGCCATGGAAAGAAGAATTTATTACTTATATTTTCCAAGAGAAGGGGGCAGGTCATGCCATGCAGGGCTACACAGAAAATAGGCTTGATAGGCAGAAGCAAGAGTGAGAAGAAAGCTGAGTACAGAACCTTTTTTGGGGTTTCCTTAGGAAAGGCAAGGAGGGCAAAGTAAACAGTTCAGGACTGGCTAGTTTGAATAATTCTGGTAGGCTTTGGGGCATAGGCTGATCTGTGGTAGCCTGGTACCTGGCCTGGGATGATTTAGGGAAGTGGAAATAATTGACTTGGTGTATAAGAGTTAGATAAGGAGGTGGTTGGGGCTATCGACTTGGGAATTGGTTTGCATAGGAAAGCTGTGATCCCAGCTGAGCCCTCGGCTGTCTCTAAGAATTGGTTGGCTCAGGGAAGGGCAATCTCTCTCTGGCTGGCATACTTTTTAAGATGTCAAAACATCATAAAGTACAGAAAATTAAAAACATGGTTAATACAGATGTCCACTTGTTCAGTATCATTTGTTGAAAACACTCTACCATTTCCATTAAATTTCCTTTGCGTCTTTGTCAAAATCTGTGCATCCATGCCAATTGACCATATTTGTGTGTGTCTCATTCTGGATTCTTTATTTTGTTCCATTGATATACTTGCCTGTCCTTTTGCCAAAACCCCACTGTCATGGTTACTTTTGCTTTAGCAGGTCTTAAAGTCAGGTAGTGTGTGACTTCCAACTTTTTTTTTTTCTTTTTCAGAATTATTTGAATATTTAAGATCCTTTGACTTTCCACAAAAATATTAGAAACAGCTTATCTATCTATATCTGCAAAAAAAAATCTTGCTAGTATTTTGATTGGAATTGTACTAAATCTTAGATCAGATTGGAAGAACTGACTGTATATGTAGCATCCTAGCTGTAAGTTGTCCAGTCCATGAACACAATATGTCTCTCCATTTATTTTGGTCTTTTTAAATCAGCATTTCATAATTTTCAACATATAACTCTCTCACGTTTTGTTACATTTAAAACTGTGTATGTATGTGTTTATTTGTGAATGATCTTTGTGCACGCATCTACACACACACAATTTATATGTGTGTATGTATAGATTTCAATTAGTTTCAAATTCTGATTGTTTATTGTTAAGATTTAGAAATACAATTGATTTTTGTAGTTTGATACTAGTTTTAGGAGATTTTTATAGATTCCTTGGGGTTTTGTACATGGAAAATCATGTTATCTACAAATAGGGACAGTTTTATATCTTCCTTTCCATTCTGTATTTCTTTTATTTCTTTTTTCTTATTACACTAGCTAGTGCTTCTACTACATTGTTGAGTAGGAATGGCATGAGAAAACATCCTTGCCTTATTCTCCATCTTAGGGGAAAAACACTCAGTCTTTCACCATTAAATGTAATGATAGCTGTAAATTCTTTGAAGATGCCATTCGTCTGGTTAAGGAATTTCTCTTTTTTCTAATTTTGCTGAGAGTTCTATAATGAATAGAAGTGTGGTAATATGGTGCATTACATTGATATTTGAGTGTTGGTCTAGAGCCCTTCTTGGTTTTGAGGCATTGTTTCTTTTCTATATTGCCTGATTTAACTTGCTGATATTTTGTTCAGTATTTTTTCTTTTTCATTTTTTTCTTCCTCTATTTTTTTTTTTTCTGACCGGTTACGGTGTTGTCTGCACCACGCTCAGCCAGTGAGCACACCGGCCATCCCTACATAGGATCCGAACCCGCGGCCTCGGCGCTACCAGTGCCACACTCTCCCGAGTGAGCCACGGGGCCAGCCCTTTTCCTCTATTAACGAAAGATATTGGTATGTATTTTTTTTTTAATACTGTCTTTGGTTTGAATATCAGGGTAATTCTGGCCCACAAAAATGAGTTGGGAAGTGCTGCCCCATTCTGTTTTCTGGAAGAGATTGAATTAAATTTGTGTTATTTTTTCCTTAAATGTTTGATAGCATTCCCTGGTGAAAGTATCTAGGTTTGAGGGCCGAGCCCGTGGCGCACTCGGGAGGGTGCGGTGCCCGCCGCGGGTTCGGATCCTATATAGAGATGACTGGTGCGCTCACAGTGCTCACTGGCTGAGCGCGGTGTGGCTGGTCTCAAAAAGGACAGAAAAAAAAAACTATCTGGGTTCGAGATTTTCTTTTCTGGGAGATTTTTTACTAAATATTCACTTCCTTTTGATATAGGCCTATTCAAGTTAATTTTTCCTCATGTGAATTTTGGTAGTCTGTGGCTTTTGTGGAATTAGTCCTTTTCATCTAAGTTGTCAGAATTCTGTGTATACGGTTGTCTGTAGTATTCCTTTATCCTTTTATTCTTTTAATGTCTATGTGGACTGTAGTGATATCTTCTCTTTTATTCCTGATATTGGTAATTTGCATCTTCTCTCAGTTCAATCTGGTGGGAGACTTATAAGTTTTA